AATATGTGAATATCATCTACTCTACAGAATTTGTAGCTAATATTGAGGAAGACAAAAAGAAATCCACCCAATGCCTTCTTCCTTTGGTTAAAGTAAACTTTTCAGGAGTCAGGAGAAATAGCAGTCTCCTCCTGCCTCTGGGACCCATGTCCTTGGGAGTCCCCACATCACCCCCAGAAGTGCAGCTACAATCTCCACATGCTACCCCAGAAGGAAGGTGATGGCTTGGGTCTCCTCCAGGGGTTGACCTTTTGGGGTTCAATCCAGCATCCTGACTTCTTTGGTTAAGGCTGTGTCACTATAGGTCCAAACACATGGTCATCTGTCATCCAGCTGCATTTTTGGGCTAGATCGATGTAGGATGGGGGGTTGGCATTCCAGTTCACAGTTGTCTGTGGCAATTGCTGTGATACCCGTTTGCCACTTTAACATGACGTCACTCTTCTGTCAGAAATACCATTGGCTAAGTGCTGATGCCCAGGACCTGCTGCCTGACTGTCAATCAAATCCTGATTTTCTCCACCTTTTTCCTCTGCAATTCACTGACTTCATTTATCTGGGTCTTTGTTTCCTTCACTGTAAAGAGGGGACAGTAATACTAATACCTTCAGAGCCTCACTATGGCTACTAAGAGTTAATATATACACGTAATGTGTGTGCACACAGAAGTTAGCTGTTACTCTAATTTTTTCTCATGGCATGCTTCATATATTTGCATATTTTCCTCATGCAGGCATCAGGCTAATCTCTGAAGCCTTCCAATGAGGCTGAAAGAGGCCACTAGTTCGAGGTTGCAAGGCCCACAGAAAAAGAACTGGGATGTAAATGAGATCTGTTTTCTACCTGACTCTCTCCTGTACTCTGACTCTTGATTACCTATGCTCACTATGGGCTTGTTTTTCAGAGGCAAATAAATTTATATTGAAAAAAATAATATATGAAAATGTGAATGAAAACAAATATGTGGAGGAAAAAGGGACAGTTGTGTTTTGAAAAAATTGGGGAGTTACTAATGAGGGAATTGATGATCTTAATTGATATTTGTTGCTGTAATGAAAGAAAGAATCAAAACACAAATTATATTCAGGCACACAGAGTTGTACTTATGCATATTTTTTTCTCCTGCTATGATGAAGCAAAATATTTCTTCCAACATGAATTTTTTCAGCCAAGAGTGAGCACACTTTGTATACCATGGACAGTGAATGATATCTGCTTTGGTGATGCATAGTAAGGTCATGCATATTAAATCGGGGATTAGTCTTTTTTAAAAATTTACATACCAGCCATTGAACCCAGGGCCACTTTACCATGGGGAGCCACATCCCCAGCCCTTTTTCTATTTTATTTAGAGACAGGGTCTCACTGAGTTGCTTTGGGCCTTGCTAAGTTGCTGAGGCTTGCCTCCAACTTGCAATCCTCCTGCCTCAGCCTCCCAAAAACATTTGTGGAAATTTAGAAGTAAAGTGGGAGTTGAGAAAAGGAGGGGTTATCTGGCACTGTGTAAACATTTCCTCTCCTTCCCCAGTGTGGATTGGAAGAAATTGATGATTCGTTTTTCAGCACAGATCAGCAAAAAGGCACTGAGGCTAGCATAGCCATTGCCCACCAGCATCTGGACTCCCAGGCGAGTGGGATCCTCTCTGTGCATCTGTCCCAAAGAGGAGGAGAACACACAGTCCACAAAGTACATGAGCACATAGAGTCCCATGAGCAGCAGGATGGTCCTGGTGGCCCTCAGTTCCAGGGAGACTCTTGGCAACAGGCTGGTGCTGTGGAGGTGCTGGCACTGCCTCTTATGCCTGCACAGGAGAGCCACCATGTACCCACTGGAGAGGTCCATGAGCCCCATGGGAAGATGTCTCAGAGTATTCCTACTAGGGAGAACAAGATCCTGAAGTAGTGACCTGTGGGGGGCGACAGTGCAGGACTCAGAGACAAACCGGAAAGCTGCTGTGTCATTGGAGGGCCCTCCCATGGAGACCAAGATGCGGACATTGAACAACACGTTGAACACCCAGAGAGTGACCAAGGTCCACGCACTGCACTGTGGGGACATATGCTTGAACTTGGTCAGAAAGGAGCTTCTGGGGCTGAGGGTGGTGGCCTGCAGGACACTCAGCAGCAGCCAGGTGGTGGTGACAGACAGGCTCCTCATCAGCCTGTACAGGTAGATGACGGCTTTACATGTGAAGTCATTCCAAAAGTCCTGAACCCCAAAATGCCTGGGTCCAGGTGTGCCCTAATTTTGAGTATCAGCAGATGAATCAAGCCCAGGTAACTGATGGCCACATCCGTGGGCCTGGTCCTGTGCTGGAGAAGGAATGCGAGGATGTGGAAGAGGAACAGGAAGATGTTGGCTGTGATCCCGATGACAATTTGGAGAGAAAAGGCATTTCTTACAGCAAGAAAAATGTAAAGTGTGCTGCTTTCGGTCATCTTTATTTTCCTGGGAGAAGAAGCAGATGGTCAACGCCTTAGAATAAAAGGAAGGTCAACTCCTCCTCACCACCATCACCAACTTCAACATGTCGACCCCAAAGATTGCCCACTTCAAGACATGGGGATCCTCCTGACACCCCCTCTCCAAACCTCTCAGCACTCAGGCACAGCATCTCCTTTGGGTCTTTATGCTTTAATGGCCAGGGCCACCATGGATCTGCCTGGGCACGTGCAGCCACCTGAACAAAAGCTGAGTACATGGCATTTGAAGGGGACTCCAGTGCGACAGATTGCAGGGACGTCCACAGAGAACTCTCAAGGAAAGTGTGTCAAGGGGACAGTCTTGTACAGCTCTAGTGTCTGGGTTGTTCATCACCAGCTTACAGACCAGATATCAAAATGTTGGCTCTGCAATCCAACTTCTTGCATATATATATATATATATATATACCAGAGATTGAACCCAAGGTTGCTTAACCACTTAAAATATTTTACATATATTTAATTACACCAGAAAAAACACATGTAAGTGAGCAGAACCATCAGTGATTAGCCGGATTATATTCTAAATTTTCTTTTCTGTCCATTATTTGGCACATGGAAAAAGGATGAAAAATAATCACAATTTAAATACTATCTTTTTGTACCGGAGATTACACCCAAGGGTGCTTATCCACTGAGCCACATTACAGGCCTTTTTACTTTGTTACTTTGAGACAGGGTCTCAATAAGTTTCTTAGGGCTTTGCTATGTTGCTGAGGCTTGCCTCTAATGAATAATCCTCCTGTTTGGCCTCCCCAAATGCTGGGATTACAGGTTTGTGCCACTACATCCTGCACGATATCAGTAGGATTGGAGGTCATAATTTTCAGTGTTTTAATTAGGAGGTGGGAATCCAACCTCATGCTGAGAGAGGAGTTTCCATAGATAACAAGTTTCATATCTTAGTTAGGAATGATAATTCTCCAGAGAAGGGAGAGGAAAACTTATACCAGACAATTTGGTAATGACATCCCTATGAAATATTTTCCTACAGAGAAAAGTTACTCACTGTATTTCAGTTTTAATGTTTACACTGAGACTCGTAACATCTTGCCACATTTTATCATCTGAAAAAGAAGAGGGCAAGAGTATAAGTTATTTTCACAGCTACCTAGAAAATTATAGTTTGATAAAAATCAGTTTAAGGGTGAGCAAAAATGTCAAAGAGTCCAGACAACTTAAGTCTTTCATGACTAGTTAAATAATTGCTTTGAAATCTCTGAGGAAGTACCATTGTCTAAAATTAAAATTAAGTGGTCATATTAGGGAAATTACAGCTCTTCCAAATGATTAAATTATTTAAAAAGTGTATATATATATATATATATATATATTTCTCCATTCATATCTTCAGCAAAATAAGATTTGCTCCCTTGGTGTGCTCAATAGAACAAAAGAAAAATGCCAATATAGTGGTCTAGGAGTCTCCATATTTTAAAAGTCACAGATGGTTATTAGTAGGCATAGCGCTACATGATTTCTCTCACTTCTGTGTAGCTAATCATAGAAATGACTATTTCTGGATGTGTATTTGAAGAAATATAAATTTTGATCCCTAAAGTCCCTTAAAGCAACATAAACTGGATGTACAACATTTGAAGATGCCTTTTAAAACTCACAGAAAATGAAATAACTAGTATTCCCTCCTATCATGTTATGAAATATAATTTTTTTAAATATGGTTTAAGAAAATAAAATGTACAGTATCAGAAAACCAGGAGGAATAGCGTATCGGAGTCCTCTGTGGACAGAGGGCTCAGGACTGGGTTTCAGCATGGCCCAGAGGATGCAGCCCTTCCCGCACCTTCGTGGGAGGGAGGGACAGATTGAGGAGGGAAGGGAACTGTGTTTTCAGA